TTTGTAGTCTCATACATCGAAAAATATCGAAATGCAAAATAAACTTTTATACGAAGAACAGCGAAGTGCTACTTGGTTGGCAGACAAAAAAGAAAAGGATTCTAAAATTCTGCAACGGGAAAATATGCTGAAACAAAAAGAAATGCAACTAAACATTAAAAAAGACAAAGAAAAAGCAGAGAAAGAAAAAGATTATGATCTAGTCAAAATAGTAATAGATTAAATTATAAATGATTAATGCTTTTAAAAACCGTATAATATTTAATATGTCACAGTTATTGCAAAACTTACAAGTCTTTAACGAAGTAGAGGAGAAAAAAAACGCTGAGCGACGGCAAATGATGATCAACTATGGAAAAGAGTTAAAAATGTCGATCGACCAGAAAACAGATCTGAGACAAAGACAGAAAAAGGTTGCGATGAACGAATTTTCGGAGGCTGTTAAATTGGAGGAGCTGAGGTAACTCCATCAATATATTGTTTAATTAAACCATTTAACTATTAACATATAGGTAGTAATAATTTATAGTAATATATCTTCAATAACAATGTTCAACTAACAATTTAAGAGTTTTCTTAGGTACGAGCAGGGGTTAAAGTGGGGAAAAATTTCAGAGGGGACTAATGTCTCCATATAGTTTTAAGCGTTCCTATATAATTTTATGTATTATGTCTAATGCAAAAAATCCTAATTTGTTAATGGGAACGCTTTTTAACCACCGTCAGAGGTAGGGGGACTGAGTCCTCCTGCGTCCCCCCACCTTAACCCCTGGGTACGAGGTCTGTTCAAAAAGTACAGACATTTTATTTTTAATAAGTACAAATTTAAGTTCCACATTATTTACGATATCTCCTTCAAAATACTGTCACCGGACGATATGTATAGTGGACCTGGGAATCTTGTAATTTTTTGAATATCCTTGCAACTGTTCCGAAGTTAAGAGTTTTAGTTCTGAAGCTGCGCATCATGGTATTAATTGTTGTTCTATAAGCCCAAATTTTAGTCGTGGGAAAATAAATATATTATATCACACCGAGTCAGATCATTAGAATAGGAAAGGTGCAGTACCACAAGTATATTTTTATCAACTAAAAATTCACGAATTGACAGCACTGATTGTGCTGACGCATTGTCTTAGTGAAGAAACCAGGTTTCAGGTTCATTCAATTTTTCTAGGAATTTTTTCAAATCTTTCATCGCAAAGTATAAATACGTAGGTACTATTAACTTATAGAAAACCTGATTGGCTGTTTGTCCACGGTGTACAAATTCGTGATGAACAATACCTTCAATTTAAAAAAAAAAAAAAAGATAAACATTGTCTTTACATTCAATCTTATCTTTTTTTTGGCCGATGGGAAAATTTTGTTTTTTACTGAGATGATACATATAATATTAGTATAATATTATTTTCAAATTAAAGCTAAAATAAAAGTATTTATTAGAAGGGAACCAAAAGAAGCAGACCTACAATGACATTTTGAATTATGTGTTTTGAAAATGAATTATAATATATTAATATAAATATATATATAACCTACATCAGCTATACCTAATAATATTAGTATATTACATTGCCCTTCATTTGTAAATTATATTATAAATTAAAGTAATCTGTTCTATATATTTTTCATTCTTTTCATTATGATTTATGTGAATTTATTTGAAAATGAGAACAATTAAATACATTTTAATCATTGATAATTATAGTCATTAATGAAAATTGATATTGAATGCTTAAATTATTTTTGTGTTTAAATAAAAGTGTATAAAATATAAATGAAACTCAGGTAGGTACATATACTATTTAATATGTTCAAATGGTTTGATACAAAATATATTGTACATACTTCCATTATACATATTATGTAGTTTCATTACATTAGTTGGAAAAGTTTTTACTGCGTAAATAACCAAAACAACTTTTCACACACAACTTCTTCAGTTCTTAAAACCATTTGTTATAATTTTTTGTTTATATTTTACGAACTACGCAGAATGGGTGAAATGAAAAAGGAACAAACAACTATTGTTAAAGAACATATGGGAAATCTTGTAGGATTTTTCCCACCGACGGCAAGAGATCAATATGAAATATAATATAATATAATATGAAATAAGAACATCTAATATTTGGTAATATTATAATATATAAATATTATAAATACTATTTAATTACATCGAACTATATACCTACTATTTTTATGACCGTTTGAAATTCAAATTTTTACAACATTGAATATTCACTCGATTTCCCATGTAGCGATTTCCTTATTTTGTTGTAATTCAAAAACAAATAACTGTAGATACATGAAAATTTCACTGAATGTTTATATTGGCATTTCCTATACACCATACAATTTTGAAAATATTTTGACTCTTTTTGAGCTGTTTATGGACATTTACAGCTTTCAATTTTTTTTAGTTTTTTTTTCTATAAATATCAATAAAGTTTTATCTGTTTTGGCCAAAAAGTGGAAAATTTTAATACAAGGCTCCTGATATATTGTTACAATAGCAGTTGAAAAATATTAAAAATACATAGGCACAGTTTTTTTTTATAAGCATTTAAAGATCAAATTTTGACAAAATTTATCAAAATCTCGAAAATTATCAATCATTGTAATTAATAAATTATAAAATGTTCAGTTTTTATAGCTAAGGATTGCAAATTTTAAACAAAGGTTCTCATAAAAAGTTCATACTGTAACCAAAAAATCTAAAAAATATATGAACACAGTTATTTTTTATAGACATTTTAAATTCAAATTTGGACGAAATTACATATTAAAAAAACCTAGAATAACTATTATAGTTATTTTGTTGTGATTGAATAATATTATTCGTGGGTACTTAAAACTTCTAAAGTGTACTATTATATATCTATGATAGTATCACGGTTTTTGTTGATGTATAACGCGTTATAAGTACCTAATGGACATTGTGATATGATTAATTTGGAATTTATTATAGGTACCTATTATAGTTCAATTTTTTGTTTAATACCATAGATATGTATATAATATGTCTTATACATAGACTGACATACCGTCTCCGCTCAGAATCGTTTTTCTTATACAATGATATTATATCGTTGAATTCAAATTTAATATCATCCATTATACAGTGACCCACTTGTAACCTACTGTACAGCAGAGCGACACCCACTTGCCCACCTTTTTTTGTTTTTACACTTGTTGTTAGAAAATCAGTTTAAGTACCTGTACAACATTTTAAAGAAATTGTATGTTTTTATTTCTCCTCTAGATCCTTCGGAAGACGTTGAAAACATATCTGTCTGACGGGCGTATAAAACTGTAAGATATCAATCTATTTTCAGCCCAATTCTATTTTATGAACAAGCTCGTGCCACTTGAACTAGACGTTTTAGACGGACACGTGACTAGTCGATTTTATTATAATATTATATTATATACATTTTATACAATTTTATATTATATACATTTTTTTATATTTTATATAATATACTTTTTATATTTTTATGTGCGGCATCATTGCCGTATCATATTTTTGAAACGCGCCCGCACAGCATGGCATTATATTATATGACAGCCTGTGTGAAGGCTCGTTTATGACCCTCCGCGTATTATATATAGGTATTTTTTAATATATTATGCACCTATGTATAAGTATTACGTTGCGTAAGGACGGGAATACTTTGCCCCATGATCATGTTGTACATGTATGTGACGAGTCTGCCAGCCGTACCACCACTTGTTGCGGCGAAGACAAGATCTCTAATAAGTGATAACCAAAAAAAAGAAAATCGATATCGATTAATGTTCCCAATTGGCAATTATAGACATTAGTATTATATAGAGACCATTTTTTATGGTATGCGGACTTATCGTGATCAACGTGAGTGTGTCATCAAGGTTCTATGATGTATTTGGATTTTAAAAATCTGTATACACACTAAGTGCTACATCGCCTACATTGCCTACATCATGTGAATATAATATAATAAGTAAGTAATAACTTGTTCGGGCATGGATGCACACTATAGTAGTATAAGAGGAACCTGTGAATAGTATAAACATTTTTTTTTACATAAATTAAGTAAATTATAAATAGCACGAATACCTCATACCTATTCGTCTTATAGAAGCATATGGATCTATAATTAGTACTGCCTATTTTTCCTAAAGATAAATATGTAAATAATATAAGTTATTTATGTACGCTTTCCATATTGACACACCACCCTCCGAACGAATGTCTTGTATCGTCAGAACTTTCATCGTACCATTAGTTGTACTGTAAAACACTTAATACCAGACCATAGTACCATGATATGCACCTACATAATATGTATTAAATCTAGACTGACATACAGTCTCCGCTAAGAATCGTTTTTCTTATACAATGATATTATATCATTGAATTCAAATTTAACACCATCCATTAGAACTGATATACAGTGACCCACTTGTAACCTACTGTACAGCAGAGCACCTTTTTATATTATGGAACTAGCTGTACTTATATATACATTTTTTCAAACACTTTTTCATCACAGTGGCTTTTATATTTTAGATTCTGAACAGAGAGACGAATGTACCTATTGATTTTACAATGATGTGGGTTTTTTTTTAATTTTAATTTTTTTTGTCTGTCATCACCTATGTGGCAGTACAATTTTTTCGATTTTCTTCAACAGTATCTTGTTCGATATGAAAATGAATCTATTTGGTGCATTTTAGAAGTTTATTTTTAAATCATGTCATATTAAAGGTATTATACATTATAATATATATATATATATATATATATATATATATTAAATACTTACCAACAAGATTCGCCAAAACTTTCAGGTCAGGATATAAGCAAATTACCTCCTTGGATATTGGTGGGTGTTCAGCCAAGGCCAGTAAATCTGTATCACAGCAATCGACGCACTCAATAACTTCTAAATGTAGATCATCATCACCACCACCCCCGGGGTTGATTTACTGCTTACTATTAGAATATCTTCTTATTTTTGCGTATTCCCGTCATAAAATATTAACGTTTTTCCAACGCGTATCAATAAAACGTCTTTGGACACGAATTTCAATCCACTAACACTCGTTGGTTTCAACCACCTGCAGGAAAAATTAATTTTCTCGATCAAAAAATAAGCTGGTAAATATTAGCTTCCGTAATTTTGGTTTTTCTGTTTCGAAAAAAAAAAAGAATAAGCTATTTAAAATATAACAACACATACAACATTGGCTTATTTCAAGGATTTCAATCACCAACGTTGAGAAATACCCACATAAAACTATTATTTCCCTTTGTTCAACTAGATGTTTGATCTTTTTTATTTTCATTTTTAGGAGAAAATATACAATCTATATCGTAGGAATAATAAGTATAATATATGGGTTAGGTTAGTTTGACCTATAACAATAGAACATGATTTAAATAATTTGAGGAAAGAAGCCACCCAGTGATGACACTTTAATTTGATTTAAATTTTTGATCTTGAAATCAATTACATATTTTTATATTGACGAGTGTAAGACGTTTGTTACACAATATTATATAATTTTCAAGGAAACTACAAAAATGTTAACTATAATATGCAATATAAGCGCCCAATAAGGCAGTAAAAAATAATTAGTGAATGCCTGAACATTTACGAATCGTGTTGAGAGAAGGGACGACAAAAAATGTAATTGTATGTATAATATAATTACTTATAAGTACCTAATGAGGTACCTACTACCTACTGGCCACTACCAGATATTATATTAATGCATTATATGATGCCCAAAAATATACAAATAGTTGTAAAGTACAGTACCTACCTATATATTATATAATTATGTATAGGTAGTGTATTATGTATATATTGTAATTGTAGGTAAGTACAATAAATCATGTTTCTCTTAATATTAAATTTAACTCGATTCCAGATTTATACTTTGCGAATACACTTTTACTGGATACACTAGCACTTTCCTCTGTGATTTTTGGCTGATCCTTTGATTCTTCTTCACTTAATGATTTTATAGTGATATTTTCTTTCGATTCTTGAGTCATCTGTTCGTAAACAATATTTTAATATTATCTTAGTAACGGGTTTTTTTTCTGTACGCTGACCGTATTATCATAATAAAATTATTTATAAAAACGTACCTTGTTCAAGAACTATATTATTATTATATATTATAATATGCAGTGACGGCTATCCTCAAAATAATATGTGTTGCTGAAAATATTTCAGAAACACCCTAACACCCACCTACGACCTACCTTAAAATAATTATTAGAAAATACAAATTACTAATATTCTATCAGTGGCAGTGACGGCGTGAACTAACTTTTTTTCTATGAATGTCAATAAAATTTTATTTGTAGGGTAATAAAACTTGAAAATTTAATACAAGGCTCTTACTATATTGTGACAATAGTAGTTAAAAAATATTAAAAATCCTTATTCACTGTTTTTTTTTATAATCATTTAAAGTTCAAATCTTGACAAAATAATGAAAAATCACGAAAATTAGCAAATTATTTTGAGTTGAAAATTCATAAAATTTTTCTTTTTAAATCTAAGATTTTAAAATCTAATACAAGATTCCTTATAACCTTATCCACCTTTATCAAAAAAAAAAAGTCTATAAGCAAATCAAATTAAAATTTTATGAGCATTTCAAGTTCATATTTTTACAATAATGGATATTCACACGATTTCTCATGTAGTGGTTTTGTTATTTTATTGTGATTCAAAAACGAATAACAGTAAATACATGAACATTTTACTGAATGTTTGTATTTTTCATTTTCTATACACCAAAAGAATTTGAAAAAATTTCGACTCATTTTTAACTCTTTTTTTTATTCTATAAATATCCATAAAGTTTTATTTGTTGGGTAAAAAAGCGTGAAAATTTAATAGCCGTTGAAAAATATTAAAAATAAATAAGCACAATTTTTTTTATAAGCATTTAAAGTTCGAATTTTGACAGTTCACTGTTTTTCCAAAATTGTTTAAGATACAAAATAATATTTAAAATAATTAAATCAACAGTGATTGTACTAACCAACCAAAAGTATTTTTAATAAACGTTTCCTAAGAAATGTATGATGGCATAATAATAATAATAATAATAATAATAATAATAAAATTAACAATAATATTAATAAAAATAAACCGCACATGTTACTATATTAAAAGAGAATAAAACGATATTTTGAAAAAATATTTGTCCATAAAATAAATGTGTATTATTGTATCGTTAGGTATATTAGTTGTTTTAGTATGCAGAATGACATGATTTATTTAAAAAAAATTGATCAATTATTAAATCTTGAAGGTAAAAATAAAAAAACATTATAGACGCTAAGCTAAATGCTCATAGAGAAAATCGCAGAACTGAAAATGATAAGCGCCAAGGATTGCTTGGAACACTAGTGGAAAAATACAACAAACGAATCGATAAAATACACCGGGAAAATGTTTAAGATAATAACAAAAAGTTGGAAGCCAGGTATCAAAAAACAGAGCAAACGCAACAAAGAATACACAATCACAGAACACTTGAGACCATTAAAAATAGGGAAAAATTACAAATTATTAGTTGATTATCAAAATTTTACATTTTTAAAAAATCAACAGTTAATCAACAAATGCATAGAAAATAAAACACTTGATGATTTTGAAAATTGTGACCAAGAATTATTGTTTGCAGAATTCGAAGAAAAAAATAATGAAGAACAGTGTAGCTATTCTGATCAATCGGTAGTAATAAATTATTTCATGTTAACCCCCCGACCAAGTTATATATTTTAATCAAACCTCATATAATACAGTATATCATACAGTCAAGTAAAATTTTATTTTTATTTTATTTTAGAAATTAGAAAAGATTTATAACCAAACAGATTTGGATAACGTTTGAGTGCATTTGGATAGAATAGCTATGTTAAAAAAAAACTTCAATAATTGCGAAGCAGGCAGACATTTTCTACAGAAGATCGGGCCCATTTGGGACTCACTTACACAATGTGTTTATAGAAAATCATTAATTTTGGAGGATATGGCTAAAAACTCCGAAAATACAATGCCCGATGGTTTTAGAAACATCTACGGAAAAACAAGTGACGAGAATGTGAATAAACGTTCATTGGGCTTGGATGCATCTTTTTTAGAAATACTAATAACTGGTTCGTAATCCAAAAAAAAAACAAAATAATATAAAAAAAGGTGGGCAAGTGGGTGTCGCTCTGCTGTACAGTAGGTTACAAGTGGGTCACTGTATAATGGATGGTATTAAATTTGAATTCAATGATATAATATCATTGTATAAGAAAAACGATTCTGAGCGGTGATGGTATGTCAGTCTATGTATAAGGCATATTATATACATATCTATGGTATTAAACAAAAAATTGACCTATAATAGGTACCTATAATAAATTCCAAATTAATCATACCTATCACAATATCCATTAGATACTTATAACGCGTTATACATCAACAAAAACCGTGATACTATCATAGATATATAATAGTACACTTTAGAAGTTTCAAGTACCCACGAATAGTATTATTCAATCACAACAAAATAACTAAAATCGTAATTCTTGGTTTAAATATGAAATTTTGTCTAAATTTGAAATTAAAATGTCTGTAAAAAATAAGTGTGTTTATATATTTTTTAGATTTTTTGGTTACAGTATGAATTATTTAAGAGAATCTTTGTTTTAAATTTTCAACTCTTAGTTATAAAAACTGAACATTTTATAATTTTTTAATTCCAACGATTGATAATTTTCGAGATTTTGATAAATTTTGTCAAAATTCCAACTTTAAATGCTTATAAAAAAAAATAACCTAACCTATGTATTTTTAATATTTTTCAACTGATATTGTAACAATATATCAGGAGCCTTGTATTAAATTTTTATACTTTTTGGCCCAACAGATAAAACTTTATTGATATTTATAGAAAAAAAAACTAAAAAAAATTGAAAGCTGTAAATGTCCATAAACAGCTCAAAAAGAGTCAAAATATTTTCAAAATTGTATGGTGTGTAGGAAATGCTAATATAAACATTCAGTGAAATTTTCATGTATCTACAGTTATTCGTTTTTGAATTACAACAAAATAAGGAAATCGCTACATGAGAAATCGAGTGAAAATCCAATGTTGTAAAAATTTGAATTTCAAACGCTCATAAAAATTTAATTTGACTGTCCGGTAGAGATTTTTTTATTGATAAAGGTAGATAATCTTATAAGGAATCTTGTGTTTCATTTTCAAATCTTAGATTTAAAAAGAAAAATTTTTACGAATTCTTAACTCAAAATAATTTGCTAATTTTCGTGATTTTTCCATATTTTGTCAATTTTTGAACTTTAAATGCTTATAAAAAAAAATTGTGACTAAGGATTTTTAATATTTTTCATCTGCCTTTGAAACAACATATTAGGAGCCTTCTATTAAATTTTCAAGCTTTCGCAACCAACAAATAAATTTTTATTGATATTTCTAGAAAAAAAACTAAAATAAAATGAAAAATGAAAATGTCCCTAAACAGTTCAAAATAAATCAAAATATTTTGAAAATGTTATCGTGTATAGAAAATGCAAATATAAACAACCAGTGAAAATTTCATGTATCTACGGTCATTTGTTTTAAAGTTACACCAATAACCAAATTCGATTTTTTGGAAAATCGATTTTGCGTAAAAATTCCCGTTTTTCCTTAATTTTTATGTTGTTTTTCCCGGCGCTTGTGAAAACTACTGGAAAATGTTTACTTTTGACCCCCCAAAGTACCAACTAGATTCACTTTCCTATCAGAAAAGGTACTATTGAAGAAAATCGAAGCACTTTTACTGTCCCAAAACGTGATGACAGACACAAAAAAAAATATAAAAATATAAAAATATAAAAACATACATCATTGTAAAACCAATACATTCATCGCTCCGCTCAGAATCTAAAATTATGTATATTTTTAAGAAATTTACTTAATATATAACGTTTATTCCCCCAGCTCAATATTTGACATTTTCAAGCTCTATTTCTTTAGGATTTACAATTTAAAACACAAACAATAAACATTTTATCAGAAATTTTGTAAAATTAATTAAAATATTTATACATTTTATAAATTCTATAATCATTGAATAATATAACAGAAATCTATTTTATTTTATTTTAAATATTATAAATATTATAATATGTCAGTATATTGCTCTTAAATTTTTGAAAAAAAAGTTTTTTAGACAATAATATTTAATTAAATTAAAATTGTATATGATATTATAATAAGTTAGACAACTTAATACTTATAGATTTGGACTATGAACTTAGCGATAAAGATGTGTATAATGCAGTAGCTAAAGCTAAAGGCTTTATTGATAAATCAACGACCGCACTTGAAATAATGAATTTAGTTAAGTTTATACTAGATCATGAAATAGATGTTAATGAGAATGTTTCGTATATTGTTAGTGGTATATGCAGAAGAACTGTTTTTGAATATACGAAAAGACGAATGAGTTGTAAGCTAACTACAGAAATTAATTATTTAAACATATTCGTGTAATTAATAAAATAATTAATAATTGTATAGACCGGATTCTGGGACGTTCAAAAAATATAATTAACAGGCTACAGTATTTAAACACAAATAATTTGATACCAAAACAGATTTTAATAACAAAAAACAGTGAACAATACGTAGAACCCATAGTTTTTGACTTTTTAACAAACGACATGAAGTATGGCTATTTAACCATAAGAGAACAGACAATTACAGAACAAATCATGTATCCGAATAAACCTCAAAAGAGAATGGAAGAATTTTTGAGAAACTTGAATGTTTGCTATACTAAAAACATTTATAATACAAATTTCGAACATTTAATGGATAATAATATGTTCGAAATTTAATTTATTATTTTTAATAATTAATTTTTTATAATATTTCCTAAATTGGGAAATAGTGACACTTAATTACAAATACCTGTCACTAAATAGAGATTATTTAGTTATTAATATGTTCATTATTTTATATACCTAGTAC